TCTATAGTGTACTTTCTTTTTGCTGTGCTAATTCGGGTAATGTGTAATCACTGTTTGAACCATGCAGTTAACAAATTTCTCTTCCCTGTTTTATTCCCATGTGTTTTGCAGGCATACGCAACCGGTACGCAACTGTCCAAAAAGCCATTCAACTCCCTGTCTCGCAGTTCACATCCGACCTCGGCAGTCACTCACACACAGTCGAAACCGGTTTCCAGGATCTCCGCAGCCACCACCACCGNGCACCGAATACGAGCACATCTCTCTAGTTCTGCACCGTCCAGTCCGAATCCAACTACTCCTATTGGCTCCGTTCGGGGACATCAATCAGTTCCCGGACCGCGTAGCACCTCATGCTCACAATTGCCCCGGGCACAAGATCGGAAACAGGCTGGGTCCGGTCGCAGTCATACAAAATTCGATATCAATAACCGATGGGAGACTCAGGTCAATTCGTGGACACAAACCGGTCGGGCACGAATTGTACGAGCACACTCGTTTCATGGTTTGCCCCCGGTACGTATCAAATCGACTATCCCCACCCAGTCATCACCCCGCCCCGTCTCGCGCTCGCCCACACATCATGTGGGAGAAATCGCTTCCCCTCCCCACAGTGCCTCACCCACTTCTTCGTTCGAATGCGACTCTGATTGTAATGTAGTCGTAAATCACGGACGATCTCGCTTTTCGAGGTCTGTATATCTGTAGTGCGCATAGGAAGACAGTGCGCGCGTGTGAGAGAGAGAATCGGTTATGCGATTGGTGTTCAATTGCCCGAACCCGTTTGATGCCCAGAAGTCAGACTACAGATCGTCGCATTCCATTCGCATTATCCGATTGCCATTATACAAGCCAGTTTTGTTTGATCTAGACTCTCTCTTTTTTGCATTTCGGTTCCCGTATGCCCGGGCACCTGGATTTACGATAACTGAGTGTGATACCCGTGCTGGACCATTGGAACGATGTAGCTCATCTTATGCTACAAATTGGTCCAGATAGCGAAGTGGTAGTTTTTACTGCTTGGCTATCACCACCCGAAGATGCAGCACGTTGAATATTTTGCGCACATACGTTCAATGTAATGGTATCCTAATGTTCTTCATAAAAACAGATCAAATGTCTCTCACCAGGACGTAATAGCTGTCCAGTTTTTTGCTGTCAGCACTGGCAATATTTATTCGTGGTAATCTCCATTATCTAGCCTGTGCATTGTACACGAGAAATGTTGGCTTGATGCAAAAAATTCAAAGGTTAAAAACTGCAATCTATATGCCCCAGGGTGGTTTCACTAACTCTCTGTGAATAAGCGCTCGTTCACGTTGGTATATGCCATTTCTGAAACACAAAACGACTATTAACTAGTAGGTCATATGAATAAGAACCCATTTCGCACTTTCCCCCAAATATCCCCACCTTTTTCAACCCACCGACTGCTAAAACGTTTTATCAATAACAAAGTACTCATTACCGGGAGACTAAAGTACTTTGTTCTTGCTCAAGTCTTGTTGAACTGTGGACCCTCGGTGTGTGTGTGTGGAACGGGAGTAGATGTACGACACTTGTTAAGGAGCATAATAGTTCGATATCCCTCACCGAGCTCTTGGTTGTCAGCAAACCGTAGTTCGGTTTTCGTAATTCTCTATTTCATTTTAGCAATACGTAGACAGAGCTCAGTATTCGTTATAAAGTGGATTGATTTATAATGATATTAACACTTTTTTCTTAGGGAAATTCATTTTTCACACAAATATTTCAAGCTATCGTGATCACTACCACGGCTCTGATTCAAACTGTTCACTTCATTAGTGAGTTTCATTTCCATCGTCCGACACGTTGGTAGCAAATGCACCAATCGTTATGCAATACGCATGGTTTTCAGAATAAAAGATGATAAAAACTAAACACCTCATATCTGTCTGTTCCTCACTAGCGTCTGAAAGTGGCTCAAACATTTGTGCTTCCCAAATCCGCTTCTTATGGTTCTCTGCGTGGCGCGGATCGTGCTACTGGTCGTAAACCTGCTCAGTTCACTGTGGGCAATCGAAAGTCAAAACAGCCGGATTGTCAGCAAACCACCGAACCGAGGACGGCGGTTGGTGCTCACGCGGACTCGGAGATTGAGTCCAAGCCGACCAGTGCAACGAAAGATCCTATCGTGGATGAAACTGTTCCACCGGTAGTTCGTAGTGACGAAACCTATGACGAGCTGACAGATGTCGAAAGGCTCGGCACGGGTGCATCACTCCAGTCGTTCTGTGAGCTGCTCACTGCCGTCCTGGCCGAACAGAGGCGTTGTTGTGGACGACCATCCAATTTGGACGAAATGAGCTCCGAACAAGTATGTCTAATGTCCCCTCCTCCACTCTCATTGGTCGTGCAAAAATAATGGATTATCACTCAACCTGATTTGCACTTGAGCCTAAAACATTGGAATGCCACATCATTTGCACATAGTAGACGGTTTACTTTTTGTGTGGTTCATATTTACTTCGTTCATTGTAAACATTTACCATTCAAATGGAAAATTGAAATTTTAATTGCTGTATGTCCTTATTTGTTCGATCGCCCACATTTGTGCTCAAATTTTACTCATGGATAAATTGCCTTATTCCTATCTTTCTGACCGTCAGTACTAAATGATCGAGGTTGAGCACCTAACCGCAGAAGCCGACCGACGACGTTCTCTTTTGCCTAAGACAATGAACTTTGACTCTCTCTCACTCTCTGACAATAGAGGCTATAAGCCTGCAAACTCATTAACTACGCCAGCTACACAAAAATGGTCACATAGACGCGTTCACTTTTGCCCAACTCCTTCCTCGTGTCTCACGGTTGCATCGAGTGTACGATTTGCCCAAAGTTCACAAAGAGGAGATGCCACCACGTCCTAGACTTTCTACGATTGGTACACCGCATCAAAAGTTAGCACGTTGGTTGGTCAAACTGATAGATCCGAACAGACCCGAGTTCGCAGCATACAGTTTGAAGAACTCATTTGTGATACCAAATGTTTCCAAGAAACACATGGTATCGTATGACGTCTGTTTAGTATTCATGAATGCCCCTCTTGAGGATACAATTGATATTGTGTGCTCCCACGTCAGTAATATCAGTGTACGACCTCAAGAAACTCCTGCTATTACGCACAAAAGACGTGCAGTTTTGCTTCAGTGGCAGCTTATATCGACGGTGTGGAAATGGGAACCCCACCCGCTAGGACCGGCGTTAGCCGACATAATAATGGGACATCTAGAAGAAAAAAACTACATCAATCAATACACGAGACCTTTTTCTATAAGCGTTATGTTGACGATACGTTTGTTGTTGTCAAAGACAAGAATCATGCGAAAGACTAAAATCTTTGAACTGCTGTCACTCTAACATCAAGTTTACCGTAGAACATGAAACATCTTTTCAATTTATGGATGTTAAACTCACAGAAGTGAAGATGCATCTCTCATCAGGATACATTTCACAAACCAACTTGGGTTGGACAGTATCTGAACTTCAGAAGCTTCTGTCCAAAGCGATATAGGTGAACCTTAGTGAAGGGTTTATTTTCTAGAGCGAAGAGAATTTGTTCTACAGAAACCTTTATCAAGGCGATTTTACAATCGATTGTAAAATCGGCTTGATAAGTCTACCCACGGTAACCGAAACATCGGCTTATTTTCACCTGTATCGACATCGTTGTGTTTTCAAAATTACAACTTGTATAAAACATATCACATGGCGCATCGATTTTTCGGTACACTCCGAACGTTGTTCGGATCTGACACTTTGACTTGAGAACGATCTTGAACTGGTATTCCGTGCATCACAGGATAATTGATATCCGCGGAATGTTAATACCAAGTATGGCATGTATATATATATATATATATATATATATATATATTTCACACAGGTCTGACGCCAGACTGTGCGAAAATTCAATAAATATTGGATGAGATTATAGGAGGATTTGATTCAAGTTCATAGGGGGAATTCGTTGTGTATAGAGCAAATGACGCGTAAACTGAAAAGCTATGAAGAACCGTACAGCTGTTTCTACCTGGGTGGGTCTCATCGGCAATGCGAATCCGTCGAACCAATTGGGGATCGAACCCGGGACCTCCCAGTTGGAACGCAAGCATGCTTCCCGCTCGGCCGCAGAGCAGCTGATCAGACATCTTTCCACTTATACAATATAGTACAACGCATCTTTGCGAGCTTGTTACGAGCATTGCATTTCTCTCATTTCAGCACTAGCCTCCGGGATTGTGACTCGTCCCGGGTTCGATCCCCATTTGAGTCCATGGATTCGCACTACTGCTGAAGTAACTGTACAGTGCTTCCTCGCTTTCAGTTTGCTCATCATTTGCTCAATACACGACGAATTCCCTCTGTAGAAATTATTGAATATTCTCGTTGTGACGTTATCAAACTAAAACCTGCTCTAAATAATTTCTTTCTCCGAGTACTACAGTTATATATATATATATGTATTATATATACACTATCTAGATGTGTATGTATATAAAGAGTTCAAAATTTTCAAATCGGTTTGGTGATTCAATGTCATGAATATGGCTGGTTTGGAAATGAAAAGTGCAGAGTTTGCTGTTGGTAAGTGGGTTGAAACTGCCTTCATTCGATGGATCGAGTGAACTGCCTCATTTCCGGTCTGCGTCCCTGGGTCACGGTTGTTTCCGTTGGCCTTGTTTGGTTGAGACCGACGTAAGCTTACCGACTAAGTAAGTCGCTTTTGAGAACAAATAGACGGATTGCATGAGCGAATGGCCCCACACCGCAACTGGACAACCAAAAGACTGCAACTAAAACCGCCGCACTCAAGTGCACGGTTAATGGTTGTACAGGCGGAAACTGAACCTCAGCTTTTGCGAGGTGACTTTAACAAACAGCTTTCGACAGGTTACGTTGTCCTCATTTGCTTGATAACCCATTAATTCACTTGTATTAGTTTTCCCTGTGCCCTTACTCAACCATGCCGATTTATGCTTGTTGATTATTTGCAATTCTTGATCGTTCTTTGGTGGTAGGCAGTATTACTGTCTTCCAATTCAATACCACACTTGACTCGGCTGGGCCTTATGTGGTTAGCCAGTCCAAGTCCCGGGGCTTGGGTTATTGATTTCCATCATCAAACAGCAGGTCCTCGTGACTTTGGGGTTCATCCTGTCTGCTGTTCATTACACTTAGGTGTATTATAAAAACGAAACAACTTGCCGAACATGAACAAAAAAAGTGGCAAATGATCACAGATGTGGAGAATATGAGCAGTGTGTTTTCAAGATTTTCGGAGAATTTGCGTCGGCTTGTGAATTTTGTCCGTAGTAATGCAGGAGGAAAGGTATAAACAATGACCTTTTCTGATCTCCGCTTTAGTAGCTCTCACTAGTAATAACCCTTGAAAGGAATTCTGACGAACAGCTTTTTTCTTGTCACTGCTGCTCTCCTAGACTGCTCCGTCACGTTCTTCGGATAATCGTTATCAAAGAGCGTTTGCTTTGTGGTTTCAATTTCCTGAGGTAGATAGTTTTCTGAATAAATTCTCCTTGCTCGGCACACAGGGGTTTGAACTAGGTTTCTCTCAAGCTTCAGAGCTTCAGAAATTGGCGAAATGCGAATATGGCACAGTCCCCGTTTGTTCATCGTAAACACAGTGCTTTATCGCATCTCAGTAGTGCACTGAGTTTTACACATAGGAACTGAAAATTATCTCCCAGTTCCAATTTGGAAGTAAAATGGATGGAAGTGAGAGTACGATTAGGGTTATTAAAAAGCGTTTCTATTATGCGTTTAATTTTCGATCGGGATAAAAGTATCATCCGCATACCGGCAGCACAATAGCAGGCTTCTCTTTGTGTCTTGTCATCATCATCGTACAGCGAAATACAGTGAAGCGAACTTCACTGACCGCTGCCAAACTCACAATGCATACAAGGTTAGTGGTAAAATTTAAGATGGACAGGGATTGGATCTATTTTGAGGGAGAGAGAAGAAGGTGAGCCACTATGGTCAACACACACAGTACGCAATCGAACTCTGCATACATACCGTTTCAAGCATTCTGACCTGATAAGAAACGACAACAAGAACGCCACTGCTGTCGGTTCGCTGCCATATCCTTCAATGTCTCCAACCAACCAGTTGTGGAGTTTTTCGGACCCCAACCTGGAAGGCGAGAGACACCTACTCTACCTAGCTCTTTCAAATTAACCACTGGGACTCTCATTCTTTCTGATACAATTACTTCAGCATGTAATAGTTTCCAAAAGTTGTCCGTTCGTGAAAAATTGAATCCCATCCGCGGAGGCCATCTGTACTCGATCAATGTTCTTCTCAACCGGGTCTCTCTCGAAAACCAGCTTTATTCGCAACTGTGTTTATCAATGAATGAATTACTACAATTCGCACAAATTGGTAACATACGTACGCGCACATATTTTTCCTCCCTTGCCCCTACTGTGTCGAATTTATTCTTCCTGTCCTTAAACATTTGTCATCTCCAACGCATACAATGAACACAACGCGTCGTGTATTCTCATCCTGATTCCTTATCGATCTGTCGCAATATGCTAAATTTAGGTCACTCCAATGAATTGTCACTCATTCCCTCTCCCACTGTGATCTTCAACGATCCGTTCCACATTCACCCCGGCCGGCTCTTTCACCATTCCCGGCAGTCGGTCGTACCAGGTGAACAGGTCAACACTTCGCGTGTCAGCCTCGGATGCACTTTGATGACCTTGTATTAGTTCAACTTACGCTCTTTAGGGATCAAAGCCGACTGACTGACTGACTGACTTCTGTTCAACTTTGCGTCCACGATCAACGGAGTGGAACAAACACGGACGATGTGTGTTTGATCAATCTATAGAAGACGCAGATAGGATAGGAGAATCGTTAATCGATTTTTTTAATCTAAGCCGGCTTGTGTGTTTTCTGATCATGTTGATATTTTCAGTTCCACTGCCCAATTGTGTGATCCTGTTACAACTCCGTTTGTGCATAGGTAGTTCTCTTATATACACAGTTCATATCAGTAATTTTGAATCTCATTAGGAGAAAAGTGAATGACCAAACATTTTTGCCAGTTTTATTTATCTCGAACTACCTTAGAGCACAGAGCTATCATACAACAAAGAAGGCTGCTTCGTAAGACCACAATTCTCGAACTGTTACATTTTATGATATACTTAACTGTATTATGTTGGCATTGTTCATTCCACACGAATACTTCGATTTGAAACTTGCATGGTCCATCAGCAAAACAATTAACCAAAGTACTCGAGGGATGAATTAGATTACCACAACTAACCGCCGACGATCACTACAGGTTAATCTTCAAACAATAAACGAGAGCAGCAACATTCTTCCGAAATGTAAGGACAGTGGATTGTGAATGAAATTTGGTATTAGGCTACTCTGTCCGCTTTAACATTGTGCTGGGGACTGAAACAGTCATCTTTTCTAGCATGCTTCAATTCCTCGCAGACAATTAGGTACAATGAGTGTTGGTTACCTCAAACGAAATTTCGATGCCGAAGAGTCTCGCAAAAGCGGACTAACTGAGTATTAGTGTACACAAACTTTACATCTTAATTATCATCAATGTTAATTTGTTGGGAATAAAAATTTTGTTCTCTTTATATACCGCCTAACTCATCATGATCTAGGGAAACTACTGCTGATGAAATGGGAATATCCGCTACATTCTGAATCATTCCATCTGCTGAGTAAAAACGAATCACGAAAATCACTGCTTTAAAGACTCACCAAGGCTTGTTTATTATTATTTGGTGAAAAATTACTTTAGTATAACTGCTGTTGCATACACTAACCCACAAAAGTTTCACAGGGACTCGTTGCTTCAGTTTCGATTAGACCTTTGTATATATGAATGAATGAAAACACAAAATATTACTGGATACGTATGCCTGACGAGCGGCAAGAACCGCTAAACCGGTCGCGTACTTCCAGGGTAACTTTGTCCAGTCATGCATACATAACTTATAATAATATGTATGTATATATGTTTTCGTTCAAATCGGTACCTTTGCTCGGTTTTTAAACTGTTTGCATCCACTTTCATGAATGAAGAATGAATCGATTTGCATCCTCATTTTTATCTGCATTTCCATGTATTCTGCATTACTTGTACAGCGATATATCGGGAATCGGTAGATGATTTGCACTATTCAAAGTACTATTATCGTGATTATCCAAAGTAATATCTGCTGGTGCCATTTACTGTTCACAACGTGGTACGCATGCAGTTGAACACTGATTAGGAAAGGTACCATAAATAAATAGTTACGAAATTGTAAAACTCTTGATTGTTTGAGTTGTTTTTTTTGCGAGGTGAAGCATTCCTAGCGTGCTTTCCTGGTGTGTTTTATGTGCCTTTATTTTTTATCTGGATCCATGGAACCTCATTTTGTAACAGCCTGTCTGGTGAACAGGTTATATTGGATACAATTGGAAAAATATTTGTCACCTATGTATGATACACTATCCCGGATGTGAAGCACATCCCTATTAAATCGGATCCATTTTGCCGATCTGCAGTTTCTTTCTCCATTGCCTCCGTTCTTCCAAATTGGGAATAAGAAAGCATTTCTGGTTCATTTTGTGTGTATGTTTCCATTCTGAATAATTTGTACTTGTGTTTTACTAATGGTGTGATATGAGCAAAAGCCTTCCTCAAGTTTTTGATGTCATCAACTGGTGTTGTTTGATTGTATATCGTGCTCACATCGGCTTGGGGTCGGGGATGGGAGGGCGCATGGAACAGCATAACCTAAACTGTGTTGAAAATCGAACTGAAAACGAGTTCACTGAGCTGAAAAGGTTTAACCAATATTGCTATGCCCCGGATATCTGTTGATATAATTTACTTTACCGATACCAATCGTCATTCGTATGGTGACAACGTCACAACAGTAGTAAAAATAAAAGGGGATGGGTGCAGCGGGATACAAAACGTAATGTATAGAAGGTTAAACAGTTAAAATCGAAAACAGTAGATAGCAGGAATAACAACGAATTATTTTGTTTCACCGTATTCTTGATTTCTTTTGGTGTTAGTTTATCGTTTTTTTACGAGCCACGGGGTTTCAACAAGCAGACCGTACAGCATTCGCGCCCCTGATTTCCATTCCGGGCCATATCTTTTAGTGTCTCTAAGCAACAACAGTCCTTATCCCTGGAGCCCTAACCTTGAAGCCGAGCTGCATCAACCGAAGCCAAAGTTGAAGCTAGCTTCCTTCTACCTCTATGTCATGGTCTGACCGCTGCGACGTTCCTACCAGCCTTTCCCAGCATGTGCAAAAAAGCAAGGAAGGCTAGACGATGAGTAGGCATTTGCAAAACATGGCAAAGCCATCTGGGGCAATGTTGAACGATTAATTTGTTTAGAGAACGACTATCCACACCCAACACACGACGACGAATCTCGTCGTTGCTCATCTGATGTTCCCACAAGACATGGTCACTTCTTCAGAGGCCAAGTCTCGCAATCGTTAAGTAGATCACTACGGACCGCAGCGATGTACGTTTCTCGCTTAAGGGATACACGGATGTCATGGCAACGCACAGGTGTCGCAGGTTGGCAAAAGCTGCGCTAGCTTTCGCTATTCCTGATGTGATCTCCCCAACACCAGTTGCGATCAAGCTCCCGAGGTACTCAAAGCTCCCACCTATTTCCAGCTGATCGCCATAGAGAGTGAGTGTAGGCAGAGGCTCCTGCCAGTATTGAACGAGCACTTTGCACTTTGATGATGCTGAGTACATACAATACCTGGATACCTCCATCGCCAAGCGGTTTCAAGCGTGTTAGACTGTCTGTGTTGTCACCCAGCAAGGCGATTTCATCATCAAGAACTCTTTTCCCTGGGAGGCATTTGACTCCAATGTTTTCTAATTATTCGTAATATCAAGTTGAACTAAGATATCGGCTTTAAATACAATAATCTTGTTCTCGTGTATCATTCTTACCCTTTGTGCCAGATATTTCAAGAAAAAGTCGACTTGCAAAAAGGCCTGCTTTACTTCGAGCGATTGCATGGGCGACCGACTGATAGTGATGCGAAACGCATCATGAAGCCTCTGTACGAACGTTACCGTCAGGTAAAACGATTACTTCGTGCAGATTTGGCTCGTTCCATGCTGACAGCCACGTCAGGGATCGAGGCTTCGACCACGGGCACGTCTGTACCAAGAGTGATAGTGCAGCCAGTCCGGGAACAGAACAACCCCAATGGATCCACCGATTTGCCGATCTCACATGCTTCTGTCGAAAATGCCTCAAAGAATATTTCGCCCTCCGTATTTCCGACTCCTTGTTCCGGTGGGTTAACCGAACGAGCGGATTCGCGATTATCTGCCTTGTCCGACTTTCGTCCGACCGATTCTTTCGTATCCAGTCTTCCCGAATCGCCGAAACGTGAGCCCCAACAACCGTGTCCGTCGGTCGTGATTTCAACGTCCACGCAGCAAGAAACAAGTACTACTCCACCCGGATTACAAGGCGAACATATGAATTCCCGGTACGTTATCTCTGTTCATGTATCTTATCTTGATAAGGGTCTTTAAACGAAATTTATTCCATCCCTTCCTCATTTATTACATATTGAACAGAACAAGGTTTGTGCTTCTGACCGAACTGGGATTAATTAGGGTCTTTGTGAGACGATCTTCTAGTTAATTTCGGGATAGTATTACCAATTTAGGTTTTAAGTACTTTGCACTTTGTAGTCTATTGTTTTTGTTCTCTTTGTTTATCTGAAATACCACCCATCTGAGACGATAGGAGCAGATCATCAGGTGTTCATCCACCCATCTATAAATGCTCCCAAACGACCAAGCGCCTCAGATAGCGAATGCCCGGTGCTTTCTACCGGGTGGGTTGACCACTGGTACTCAGTCTAGTGGAGTTGGCTAAACCCTGATTCCAAACCACCCACACCTGGCATAAGAAGCTCATAATGGCATCAATCTTCGAAGCAACCGAACCGGTCTCTAAAGTTAATCTTTGGAATTGGCTTCATTCAACGTAAGAACGTTAATGCGTATAGGACAACAAGCATGTTTTGCTCGGACGCTCGAAAGTCTAGAGATCGATGTGTGTTGCCTCTCTGAAAGACGCATCCAGGATTCGAGCTCAGGGATCCGATTAACGTGTCATTCCAATCCTGAAGAAGTGTTTAAACTGCACGTCTACGGGGCCCCTATCGCTTCAGCGTCTGGTCAAGCAGGCGTTGGTATTGCCTTCAGCGCCAGGGCCGAGGCTGGTCTATTGGATTGGATCCCGACAGATAGCCGACTATGCGCAGTGAGACTCAGAGGCTCAAGTAAAGTCAAAAAGGAGAAACCAAATGAACGATGCTTATTCGTGGTTTCTGCACACGCTACCACAGATTGTAGCCCGGATACCATCAAGAACGCCTTCTATCACAACCTACATGAGCTTCTTCTCAAAGCACCTAAGACGGATATCGTGATCCTGGCTGGAGACCTAAATGTACGCGTTGGCCGTCTGTCACCCGATGTGACTCACCTTGGTGGCCGTCATAGCCTTGATAGCTGTCGTTCAGATAATGGGGATAAACTTCTTAAGATATGCTCAGAACACAGTCTGTTCCTCGTTAGCACGAACTTCATACATTATAAGCATCACTTCGCCACCTGGCGTAACCCCTCTTCGGTACAGACGTGGAGTCAGATTGACCATATAGCTGTTAGCTATAGATGAGAGGATGTGTGAAAGACTGCCATNCTGGTCTACCTGCTTGGACTCCGACCATGCACTGGTTTGTGCCAAGTTGTCTATGCGTTTTGGTGGCCGCAAAAAGATGCGATGCAAACAGCTCGACGTTGTCAAGCTCTCTGACCCGGCCGTACTAGCCGATTACAAAAACAAGTTGTCCTCAAGACTAACTACTACCCCACCATGTAGCGTAGATCAACACTGGACAACCATTCAAAACGCAATGCACTCAACCGGTTTACACACTTTTGGCCTAACCCCCCGAGTTGTAAATCACTGGGTCTCCAACTCTCTCAGACTCCTCGACGCGCGTCAGGCAATCTCGGTAGACTGCGAGTTCAACGAACAGCGCCTCTCCCTGAAGCGTGTAATCACAAAGAGTTTGAGAGACGACAGAGAGGCCTGATGGACGCCACTTGCAAAGGAGATGGAATCAGCGACTGGGTGTGGAAAAACCCGGCAACTATTCCAGCTCATCCGTGCTACAAGCCTCCGTTAGTAAAACAATCTGCAAAGTAGATAGCATGCTAATAAACAGTCTTCACCGGCGATTGGAACGCTGGGCGGAGCACTTCATATCGCAGTTCAACCAGTCCCCCCCGCGCTTTCTGTCCCAAGCAGTTCTCTTGAAAACTATCCACGGGACGGCCCACAGAATCGGAGATCCGAGAGGAACTCCAAACCCGGAAACCCCACAAGGCAGCTGGATCAGACAGCCTGCCACCTGCCCTCTTTAAAGATAGTCGAGATGCTCTCTTAAGGGAACTTGTGAGACTGTTCTCGAAGATCTGGGAAACTGAAAGTGTACCCCACACATGGGGAGAATCGATTGTCACATTCATCTACAACAAGGATTGTCGCAACGCCTGTTCCAACCATAGGGGCATAAGTTTGATTTCAATGGCGCCGAAGCTGCTGGCGTCCGTTTTATTACGCAGGATATGCCCATTCCCTGAAAAGCAAATCTGCGAGGAGCAGGCCGGGTTTCTTACACGCCGTGGATGCGTAGATCAAATCTTTACCCTCCGTTAGCTACTAGAACACCGCTACGCGTACAGACGACAAACCATTGTCGTGTTTTTAGACATCAGAGCGGCTTTTGATCACCCCTCACTATGAAACTATTTGCGGAGATACGGAGTACCCGAGAAGTATGTCTCACTCCTAAAAGCGCTCTATCACCAGACCTCGGGGAAGGTTAGGGCCTATGGTGAAGTTTCACCCTCGTTTCCTGTCACCAGTGGGGTTCGACAGGGTTACCCTATCTCTCCGTTTCTCTTCAACTTTGCCATAGATGATGTCCTACAAATCACGTTACGTAACGTAACGAACGCTGGCGTCGAGCTTCTTCCTGTGGACAGAGTCGTAGACTTAGAGTATGCCAATGATATTGCCTTACTGGGTGACAACGCACCAACGATTCAAGAGTCGTTGAACCGTTTGGCAATTGAGGTTACTTGCTATGGTATGTTATTTGCACTTTCAAGGTGCAAAGTGTTGTTA